CTCGTCCAGAAGCCACTAACATGCCTTTTCCGTGATGATCTCGTACAACCTCCACTTCCACTACTTTCGAAAGGCTTGAAGTAGGCAGATTTTCTCGCTTCCTCTGACACCGATGACTCCTGTACATCAATACTTCCACTTTTCAACCTATTAGAAAGGGTACCTCAAAATCATCGTGAACTGTGCCTTGAAGGAAGTAGCGCCTTTCAGTGAAAACCATGAAAAAAGTTGTCGGGGAGTCTGAAATTGTGAAGGAAATAATTAAAATAACTATGAATATCAGACCTGAAATGCACTGTGAGAATTTTCAGAAACATCAGGCTCTCTTGGATGGTTAGAAGAAGAGTGGAGAAGTGTTGTCAAGAACTTGAGGCACGAAGACTATTTTCCTACAGAAAAAGTGGCATCTGAACAATGTCAACCCACTGAACTTTCTAGAATTCATCAAGGTTTCCAGTCAAGCCAAACAGCAAGAATGTGTGCAACAAGAATCATCACAAGAATCATTACAAAGCCATAGTTTGCAAATTAGATGCAAGCCTGTGTCGAGCCAGTCTGTTCATTTTTGCAATGTAGTAAGACTGGTCGGTCAGGGGCATAGGTTGAACTGGGGCCCAATTAGTTTACTTGTATAAGCATTTCCAGTGTTCTTTAGATATGAAGCAGAGCTGTGGGTAGTCTATACGATCGGAAAGGGTTTTAAAAGCGTTTAGGATGTTTCATATAAAAAAGCAAAACAAGCGCATGCATCAAATATTAGAAACCTCGTGTCACGCCTATCTGCTCGCAGCCCTTCCAAGTGTACCATCGCTGTACGTTTGAACAGTTTCTCAATCCGCTTGTAAAAGCAACACAATGGCATGACACCTTGAAAAAAAAGACCCGTATTCTATTCCCAAAATCGTTTTGCAGGTTTGGGATTCAGATTTGAGATCAGCGCTTTGGAACCCTTTAGTAGGAATACATCTCTTCTTGACTGGCCACTGCAGTCTAGTATCCTTCCCTTGTAAGTATGGGATGCGCCATAGCTGTGAATATACAGTGAAATGCTCCAAATTTGGCAGCCAGTTGTTTCTTTGTCATGACTGAAACTGTGCACCCATGAAGTTCATGGAACATAATTTCTACAGTCTAGCTAGATGACGTGCTGGTCCTTGCTCATAGTGGTATCCGACTTAATAATATACTTTTTTCTTTTTAAGAATTATCACAAGAAGAAGCCGAAAAATACAAGCCGTGGCCACTTCTCTCTCGTCAAGAAAAAAACCACTCAGAAGTTAAGAAAGGTAGGGGAGAAGTTATAATCGTTTCATTCCTTCAAAGTTTTCGTTCTTCAGAGTCATGGGTCATGAATAACTTTCGTTTCCTACAAAAGCATGTATCTCAATGTGACTTGGAAAATATCAACAAAGATCCAAATAACTATGATCTTTTTGGAGTAAGTTGAATTTTCATTTCTGGTTCGTCATTAAGTGTTCTTTCCAAGTTATCACAAAATATTGGAAAGCTCTGTTTACAAGATACAGCAACATTATATTTCTTGTTGAGGCATTTCACATGAAGTAGATTCAGATATTTCGTACTGGATGGATTTAACATAGTGGTAGTCGTAGATTCAGTCAGCTTGGCATTTCATTGAGAAGGGGGTTTATTCATTCGTTTCATACTTTGAACAGCGTTTTCACCTTTTCAAGTGCTCAGTAATGAACTGTTTGAACTGGATGAGATTAATGTTTCAAAGAACATTACTCGCTCCATTTTGCTGAAAGGTTGTAATGGTTGGCAAAGCAGTTTCATGGACTCGAGGCTTTGTTACCAGTGTCGGAAAGAGGAACTATAATTACTTTTAAGCAATGAACTGCTGTTCTTGTCACCCTAGATTGTTCGAAGATAGACGCTTTTTACATTTTCATTCGTTTACTTCACTGCATCATCGGTGCCGAAGGACAGCAAGCGCCTCTTAATCACTGACGACTCTTCGTGTTTGACAATAAACCTGAAAGCTTTCGTGGCTATTTTTGAAAACAAGTGAGCAATGCTAGTCTACGCTGCGAGACGTCCTCAGCGATGGTCCACGATGCAGCTCTACTATACTATCTTAATCGAGCTCGTCAACACGAAGGATTCCGGGCAAGGAAACGCTCTTTAGCATTCCTTTGACACATTAAGCCTTTGTTACCGCCAACATGCTGGTGTCACAAAGAACTGAGTCAACTACAGAACTCCGCTGAGTCCAGCCGGGTTGCTGATCCAGAAACTTATCATTTAGTCGGAGAAGTCATGCTGAAATCTGCCATACGAAGTCTGGAAACTAACCCAGGATCGATAATTACTCTTCTCCTCACCACTACGACACCGTCGATACAATTGACGACTGTCAGTTGTTGCCTTTGAGCGCATACGCATACTGATAACAGAACCACAAGGTCCGTATGCTTGCGGCACTCCACAGCTCGTTTAGGACAGACAAGGCTGGAAATGTCAGCCCGTAGCTACTACGTCTACTGGCCAGTGCTGGATGCTGACTTTGAAAACCCCTCAGGGACTGTAGCAAGTGTGCTACGCCCGCAGGAGATTGAGTCGAGTCTTAGTTATGCTCTTGTCTATAAACGATCTTTCCATTAACCCAAACACTACTGACTTTGCAGAACCAATAAATATTTGTTTTTGAGTGAACACTCACGATGGTCTGACACGTTCAGATTACAGCAATCTCAAAGTCTGCCTCCATTCATGCAATGAAAAACGTCTTCGCTAAGTGCGGAAACTGGGAGGTACTTGTCACGGTCGGAATGTAATTTTTCTTCAAACTTCGCTTTGCTCTGCAGTTGCCCACGGGGGGGGGGGGGGGGGGGGGGGGG